CGAAAGCTTATTCCCAAATAAATCTGTTAGTCTTTAACCTGACACCAGACTCCTTGTTGCTTTTGTAGATACAGACTAACACGGCTACCCCCTGATACTTGACACCATGCAAGGCACTAAATTTAGCCGTATGGAGTGGAAATCCATCAACCTCAACAAAAAACTTGCACAGATACAGACAGACATCATCTTCCTCTCCAAATGCAAGCTGTTGGAAGGGGCATTTCCCTCACTAGTGTTAAGCCGCCCGATGCTCCCAGGACTTGGAGGGACAGCGTGGCTGCTACTCTAGTCTCTAGCTCAGGCTGGAGCTAAGAGGAAGGACATGGGTGCTGCTGTGCAAGGTCCCTCGCCCCCATTATGAGTTGGAGCCAGGGGCAAGGAGTGGGGAAGTGGGAGGGGGAGCTGAGGGAGAGAGGGGGCCCCGGGCAGGGCAGGGGACGCAGCAAGAGGAGGATGGGGAGGAAGATCTGGGAAAAGGGGGCAGTCTGTAAAAAAATCACTTCCTTCCAGAAAAGCAGACTCACCCTGCCCAGGGTCCAGGCAGCGCCGCTGATGCTCCCTCCCTCTCCCCCTCTGCCCCAAACAGCTGATCGGGAGCAGGGAAAGTGAGAGGAGGAGGGGCAAGTACACCACAAGCTGGGGAATTTGCACACAGGATTTTTTGCACTGATTTTGGTACACAGTAAAATTTTTATTTTCTTGGAAAATAATTCCTCTTTATTTCTTCACACCATATGCTGCCAAATACCTAGTACTTCTGAAAATACCCACTACATGTTATTATTCATGGCGACAAAACTCATAGGACCTGTCATAAATATACACAGGGCAGATGTACTGAATTGCCTTACCTGTAAGGGGTTAATCAGTTCAATTAACCTAGTTAGCCCCTGACCAGAAGGACCAATGGGGAAAGAAGATACTTTCAAATCTGGGTGGGGGCAGAGGTTTTGTTTGTGCTCTCTTTGTTTGTTCCCTCTCTGGACGGAGACAGGGTCCAGGCAGGAAAAACATCTCCTGGAAACATACCTGAAATGAGCGTCTAAGATTACAAAAATTGTAAGTAAGGTAAGGAAATGCATTAGATTATCTTTTGTTTTAGCTTGTGAATTTTCCCTATGCTAAGAGGTAATTTTATTTCTGTTTTGTAACTGGAAAAGCAGAGTCAGAGGCGAATACTCTGTGTTTTAAATCTTTTTATTTACCCTGTAAAGTTACCTTCCATCCTGATTTTGCAGGTGTGATTCTTTTACTTTTTTTTGTAAATAATTTTTTTCTTTTAAGAACATGATTGATTTTCAATGCCCTAAAAACCAAGGGGTTTGGTTTGTGCTCACGTTGTAACCAATTGGTTAGTATATTAGTCTCAAGCCTCCCCAGGAAAGGGGGTGAAGGGGCTTGGGGGAATATTTTGGGGAAACAGGGACTCCAAGTTGCCCTTTTTCCAGTATTTTTGTCTAAATCACTTGGTGGTGGCAGCAATACCATCCAAGGACAAGGAAAGGATTTGTGCCTTGGGGAAGTTTTAACCTAAGCTGGTAGAAATAAGCTTAGGGGGTCTTTCAGGCGGGTCCCCACATCTGTATCCCAGAGTTCAGAGTGGGGAGGGAACCCTGACAGGATCAATGACAAACACAATGTAATAAATATAAATGTTCAATGAGTACTGCAAAATTAATAGGTGCTTTAATAGACAATGTTATATTCATAAATGTACACCAGGCAACACAATTCCTAACAGCCCCCAGAATGTCAGGGGCAAGTAGAGCTCAACCCACCAACTATATTACTGTGGCTGACTGTTGAAGTGCTCTTTCAAGCCCTCCCTTAGCTGCATAGCTCCAATAGCCCTTCTGTTTGGATGTTCAAACTCAGCAGATAAATGATCCACTTTCACGCTGGCGGCAGTCTTTCCCCCTTTTTCTTACAGACATTATGCGGGACACAACAGGCAGCTAAAACCACTAGGATATTTTTCTCACAGAAAGACAGATAGCCGTGGATCATTTTTGTGGATCGGAGGCCGATACAAATTTTGTATCTGTGCAGGGCTCTATCTTTAATCTACTAAAACCACATTCAGCTGTCATTCTGCACTTGCTGAGCTGATCACTGACTCTTTCCTTCGTGTTGTCAAGATGTCAGGCATATGGTTTTATAAGCCAGGGAAACAAGGGCTAGGCTGGCTCACCCAGGATCACTACTGGTATTTCAACATCACTAATGGTAATTTGCCGGTCAGAAAAGAAAGTCCCTGCTTGCAAGTTTCTGAGAGACAAGGTAGGAGAGGTAATATCTTTTATCTGTGTGGCTCAAAAGCATGTCTCTCTCACCAACAGAAACTGGTCCAATAAAAGATATTACTTCACCCACCTTGTCTCTCTAATATCTGGGACCAACAGGGCTACAGCTACACTGCATGTGGCTTTCTGAACAATCCTGTGTTCTCAAAGATGCACTTATACTGTGCACTTTCCCTAAGCTGCCAACATTGATGTCGATGAAGTATTCCTGGTGCAGGGGTGCCATTTGAAGGGGGCAGGGGACGGTCTACTCACTCAAGCCCCAGACAGAGCTCTTAACTGCAACAGCTTGAGTGTGATATGTGATGAGTTCAGAAGCTCGGAGCAGCAGCACAGCCTCGGGGCAGGGAGTTTGTTTATAAACAGAGGCAGGGTGATAAAGATAACAAAAGGCTAATCATTACAGTAAATTAAGGATCCTTAGATGATCCTGAAAGTACACCTCTACCTCAATATAACGCTGTCCTTGGGAGCCAAAAAATCTTACTGCGTTATAGGGGGGAACCGTGTTATATCGAACTTGCTTTGATCCCCACCCCCTGGGAGCACTGCGTTATCGCATTATATCCAAATTCGTATTTATATTGGGTCGTGTTATATCGGGGTAGAGGTGTACTGCCACACATTTCAGTTAAAAGATAGCAAACAAAGGGTAGGAATAAAAGGTGAGAATGGAGAGAGGTAAATAGTGGTGTCCCTCAAGGGCTTGTACTGGGACCATTTAATGATCTGGAAAAAGGGATAACAGTGAGGTGGTAAAATTTGCAAATGATAGAAAAATAACTCAAGATAGTTAAGTCCAAAGCAGACTGCAAAGAGTTACAAAGGAATCTCACAAAACTGGGTGATTGGGCAACACAAAGGCAGAAGAAATTCAATGCTGATAAATGTAAAGTAATGCACTTTGCAAAATATAATCCCAACTATACATACAAAATGATGGGGTCTAAATTAGCTGAACCTGTCAAGAAAGAAGAACAGGTGTACTTGTGGCACCTTAGAGACTAACAAATTTATTAGAGCATAAGCTTTCGTGGACTACAGCCCACTTCTTCGGATGTCAAGAAAGAGATCTTGGAGTCATTGTGAATAGTTCTCTGGCAACATCTGCTCAATGTGCAGTGGCAATTAAAAAACCTAACAGAATATTGGGAATCATTAGGAAAAGGATAGAGAATAAGAGAAAATTATCATATTGCCTCTATGTAAATCCATGGTACGCCAATATATTGAATTGTTCATGCAGATTTGGTCACCCCATCTCAAAAAAGATATATTGGATTTGGAAAAGATACAGAGA